AATTTAGATGATGAGATAGCTGGACTGTCACGCCACGGTGATGAGTGTCCATATGTTGTATCCATGGCAACTTCTTAAGCCACGTCACCTTCATCATATATAGATAATTATAAACACTACATTGGTTTCCGGGTCCTTACAAAGTCGTTCATCAGTTGCGTTGATCGTGAGGTAGCACCGACACGGTGAGTATTGTGTCTGAGAAGAATATACATAATACACATGTCGCAATCGAGTTTCGGTCTTTAAAATGCACCACTGACATTTTAAAAGTTCGTGAATTTATACGTATATATTTACGCTGTTGTGAGAAAAACGGGGAATGGGTCAGTGGCATTTCATTAAGAATACTGTAACATCGTATTACGAACACGTACTTGTGTTTGACTTAATATTTTTTTCTGAGCATGTAATAATGTAGCGTGTACAGTACACTGTGAAATAGTACTGTGGGGAAAATTTGCTATCACATACTTAACGTATTATTGTTGTATATATATCAACTCTCCAATCAATTAAAGATAGTACACTGGGATACGTACGCTGTCCACTTGAGCGAAGTCATGGCGCACAAGACAATTGAATACGTAGGGATACTTATCCTCATTGTTGTCATGGCAGCCGAAGTCTATACCGATACTATGGATTTTACACTTAACCATGCAGAGGTAGTATATATTTTCTTGGCAATTAGTATTCTCTATCATGTAATTGCCCGTGTTATTTTTCTCTGGTGTGCACGTGGTGTAGATATTAGCTGGCGTGATTAGCAGATTCCGCGTACCCAATGTCTACCACGACTCACGATGAGAAAACAAGTTTTTTTATGCGTGACATAGCAAGTTTCCGAGATTGGCAAATTGACTTCGAAAAACGTACTATGTTATTCAATGATGTATCAGACATGGCTATGACACGTACCGGGGTAATACGATAAGTGTTTGTTCAATGTAGAACGTTCTTACCTCGTGGCAGGGCTTTGTTGAACCTTATGGAGTCAATGGTCGACAGGACGGTTTATTAATTATTGATTATTGTTGATTACATCGCACGAATTTTAGAGTCAACAATGTGCATGCAATTTGTTTGACCATCTACAAAGTGTTAAAAGTTAAGCAATTCAGAAAACATGCTTGACAATGTATGGAATAGTTTGTCAGTAAGCGTCAATGGATTGTTTTTTTTTAGGCAAACATGTTCCTGAAACCCCCGAGTCATAATGCAAAGCGATGGGTATTGGAACGTGATTGTGAAGGTACGCTTTTCGTTTCCATTTGAATATAATCTGAATGAGTTTTTATTTATTTATTCAAGAGACAGTTACAGGTTTCCCCGAATTTCAGCACTCGCATGAATGTATTGTGTATACTAGTATCTGAAAAAATACAATACCATTATCTTTTCAAAATGTCTGAGCGTTAACGCTGGGCGTTTAAGACACATCTCTTATTAAATGCTAAACTACTAAAAATATCTGCAATTTATCGGAGTTGTAAATATTGTTTAAAAAGGGATAAAAGAATATTTCCTTAAATTTTTAAATAGTGAGGTAGTGAATTGACTAAATGTGCGTGATAGTACATGGAAAGAAAAATAACATTTTTATTAAGATATTTATGGTAAAAAAACGGCACCAAGAAGCATTCTTCGAGACTCATGTGTTGTTAGATTAAAATGATTGTCTAAGGCAGCGTAATCAGATGATGCATACGAAGTGGCAGAATGGTAGCATAGAAATTTGACAAATTTCACTAGGACCGGCGTCGAATTTAATTTGGTTGTGAGTACGAGTCTTTTATCCTGGAAACACATTCAATTATATCGCCGGGAATTTTGTGGTTGGGAAGAATTGTCGCACGTTTCTTAGTGAAACTTATATAATATTTCTTTTGATTTACCTTTAAAAGCCACGCTTTACACCACACATTTACGCAGTTCAAATCATAATTGAGAGTATATCTCTGAATAGTTTTACAACGTTGGCATGTTTTGACTTCGAGTATTGCTGTTTGACATTGCATTGATTCTTTGTGAAGAAAAACATTGTTATATTTGTACACAACATAGTATTCCATTGATTGCGCATGCGCGTTGAAATACAGATACGTATTATTAATTCGAGTCTCACGTATTGTTACTGAAATTGGAACTTTCCATTTTGGTGAATAATGGTGCTAATAGTTTCATTTTTACAGACAAAAAAAATCGTTGCTCAAATCGTGTTTCCAAACCACGTCCTCGTGCAGCCATATTAACATTCACACACTTGTCCGGACATATGTCAGGATATTTATTTTCTTGTGGTAAATTGGGGTCATGGCATTCATATGAATCATATTAGCTTTTCCCAAAAAGAACATTTTCTTCAATGTATGTGTGACTTAAATTAAATATAATTAAATTTCAGCTTCAATGGAGACATTCGAGCCACCACCGGAGCCACCAGTACCTCCGATAGTGGAGCCGCCGAATCCTTGTGATAATGTCACCCATGTGATCCCTGATAAACCGTCGTTTGAGTGCCGGTTAATTCGTTATAATCTCTGTATGGACGCCAAGGAGTTGATGATGCACGTCGTCGTGAAGCTCGTCCACGTTATCGATGCAATACACGACAAGTTATTGTACGTGCTTTATTTTATCGGTCTTGTCCTAGATTGGCTACCTACGGTCAATCTTGACACCTGTCTGAGTGATTTGGCTTGCGCCGGCTCCTGGTTACTTCGATATATTCTGTGGGATTTGTGCCTCGGGCCTACTTTAGATTTCATCCTTGCTCTTTGTTGAGATACGTAAATTTTATCTGTCAATTATCGTTTCGTTGTTGAAATTTCAGTCCGTTGATTCATGAAGGCTTCTCATATCGACCAACGGGCCTCGTTTTAAATCTAAGACTTTACGCAAAACACCAACCTCAGAAGATCAATATAGAACAAATAAATAAAAGATATTCTTTTTTTCAAAATTGGGCTCGGGTTCTATACCTTTTTCCCAATACTTCACAGTCAATGGAAAGTGTGTTGGAAATATTCATTCTGTATTGATCTTTTGGTAGTTTTCCTAAATACAAAATAAAACACCCTCCGTATACTAACAAAATAACATGTTGTGTGGGAGTAGTCTTATTTGTGTGTTGTAATCGCTGTGAACAATGATGTTACGTACTACGTCATACGCACTTAGAAGTGACGTCATGGACTGTGGGATATTGAATCTTGCACGCGTGTAACACCCTCTTACCACTACAATTCGAATCGCTTTGATTCTATGATTGTTATTGTTTAATTTCACAATATAATCACGTACTCCCTAGTTTAATAAGTGTCAATTTCTACGTGTGAAATATCATGGTACCGGTATGAACAAATGACTCATATGACCCCGAACAATTTTCTAGAACAATCTACATACAGTATCAAACAACAATATTAATAAACATGTTAAGTTCTCGTCCAAATGATATCTATAATGTGAGAAGATTACCACCCAACTGCTCACAATCGTCAGTATCTACTAATCCAACTTGTGTACGAAGGTTAGCTGAAAAGTTGTGAGTCTGCACGGGAAACGGTGTGGTATACAATTGAAACAATACGCACATTTAATTCAAACCCGGTTTAAAACAGGCGCATTTTTTATTTGATGTGATGTATTATTTCTGTTGTGTGGGGTTGCTATGATAACTGAGGAGCAACCTTCAAAATGTATATCATTGCCTTACTGAATGTTCATGGAAAAGTAACGTCATCTTTGGCCACGATCCCCAAAAGTAATCTCGTATGAACTGTCCATATGCCCCCCCCCCCACCAATTTTCAGACATGTAGTAATTTTGTTTATTTATAGGCAAAATTTGTTAATAAATATATAATAAATATCGATAAAAAATACATAGAAATTAATTAAAAAAATATTGCACCGATCAGAAATTTGGTTGGGGGAAATTCTTGAGCTCAAAAGATACACACTACATTCCCGACGAGTATCGCAATACTGGTTACGTTGACTTCAACACAAAGTACAAAAGTTGTAATCGTGATTTCAAGTGATCACATCCGACTTTTACATAAGTTCTGAACAAAATTCTGCAAGAAGTCACAAACTACGGTTGTGAGGCGCTTATTTCAAATGAGATTGTGGGTACTAGAGTCCAAAAAATATCAACCTACCAATAATATACAATTTAGTATTATACCTGTGTTTTTTTGCTCTGTAAACTCGTTAGTTCACCTAATTTTAGAAGTAATACCTACTTTAATAAAATGTAATCAAATTTACCAAAATAGGAAATGTATGTTGTGTCTTATCGAAAAGAATAACTATGTGCATTGCGCCCCATCACGGTGACTTATGCACACCTAGCCGTGATTGACAGAGGGCGCAACATACTTATATGACAAATTCAGCCAGGCTTTTTATTCTCACCAGTATCTGTTATTCATTCATATAAATTGGGAGTTTTCATATTTTTTGGGTGAAACAAAAATCTATGCATAATTTGAAGTTAGTTATATAACATCTGGTATATTAGGTGGGTCTCTAATTTTCTGATAACGAATTATTTTGTTATTTCTGATAGAAGGACTGTTAATTGAATAGTATGGGCATATCTTAGATAGTCTATGCTGCAGACTAAACTTTAAAAATGTCAGTGTTTTTTTTTAGTGTTCAGTGTTTAGCGATTTTGTTAAGAAACAGAGCCCCCTAGTGTGGGGTATTCACACTAAATTCAGCACTTGTCGGCGTTTCTAATCATATGAACAAATATAGCGACTTTGACTATTACGCAGACTAGTGCATTTCGCGCCCACAGATCAAAACTCGTGCTCGTGATTTCCATTAGAAGAGCGCGTTGGGTTGTGGGAAAAATCAATGTTTATCAACATAAATGTCGTACATGCGCGGCGTGACGACCACCGCCGTTATAACTATGAAGAAAATTTGCTGCATGAGGTTACGTGTCAAACACATGCACGAAATACCCAAAGGCACAACAGTTATAGATTAAAATATACTAGTAGCATGCTAGAAATGGCAGTTTTTTTCATTTCTGTATTGATCTGCATTTTACAAGTGTGTGTATGATTTTTCGTCAACTCTTATTAATGTTAGAATGTTCAATATAAACGTACGATGTTAAACCGGCTTATCTATGAAATGGGCTAGTGGCTAATTGGAGATCAGCTGAGATAGTTTACCTGGAGACACCAAAACGAGGCTCAGCGCTTTTCGTAGCAACCCCCAGTGCCCGGATGTTTGACTGTTGAATAGGAGTTTGCTATATCGTCCGCCAACTTCGGTATTCATTCACGGGACAACTTAGAATATATAGCAAATCGAGCTGAAATTCGCTTTGTTTGCTTACCTTTGGTAGCTTCTAGTTGTAGTTGAACTACCGTAGGGTGATTCAAAGGAAGTTATAATAGTGACAGTGCAAGTTTTTGAAAGTACTACCTGTAGAGTTGCGGGGAAGGAGCTCGGAGACCCCCTCAAAACTTCGCTCGTTTGTTTTGGTCGTTTTAACATGGCTACTATCGTCGTTTAATCCGTCTACAAGACTCGTAAACTACAAGGACATCATGGACCGAGCACGGGTAGGTAGAACATGTTATTTTACCTGACATTACTAACGATCAGTTGATATATACCCCGAAATGCTGACACTATAGTCTTCGACAGTCGTTTCATGCCTGTCGGCTGGCTCAGCGGGGTGCTGGTCTCGAGCTCTCGTGACATTCAATACCTTGCGACCATTCGATCGATCTAGCTATGCAACATGCTCCATGTTGTCTCGATTGTAATGGTTTTCAAATAATTTCCTGAGTGGTCACACATTGCAACCCGTACATATGTGTGCCTGGCTTCCCCGTTTAATTAAAATGGTTCGGAAACCGTCAATTTCACTTTCACAGTAATAATCATACATATTTAATGATCCGACCTATGGCTATGCACAGGCGTTCACCTGTAGTTTTATAACAGATCTGTAATTTCCACTGCCCGTGTTGCCATACTACACTGTGTTTAAAATGACACATTGTTTATCCAAGATTGATTTTTTTGTCAGAATTAGCAGTGATCAATGAACATAGCCTTTGACTGGTGACGAGAATGTCAATATAATGTAACAAGAGAGTTCATTTACTCGCAGACGTGGTACATTTATTTATTCTGCCTTCACGCCCAAACACGCAAACTTGGTTAAGGCACAATGTATCTGGTTATTAAGAGCATGGAAGGGTAGTACCTTCCATGTTAAGAGTAAGAGAAAAAATATGTGTGGTTCACTATAACTAGGAACGCCAATATAATAAAATAACTCTAAATATTAATAACATTTCTGTACAACTTCAAAAATAAAATGACTACATATATTTATTATGGGTAAATTTTTTTTTTCATTTTTTGTACAGTTTGTAGAGACTCCTATAAAGAGTTGCAGCCAGACCCGCGGGTTGCCTGGTTTGCCTCCACTACCATCAACGTTAACAGAAGAACCATCAGATCTGTATCAGGTACAACATTTACTAAACCTCTTAGTTAAAATAAACACCCTCACTACCCATGCTGATGTATCATAACAGTGTTTCTTCAACATCTCAAAACAAAAAATACTGAGCTGGTTACTTACAAACTTGAAACATCACAGTTATCCACCAACATGATATACACATGTTGTGTGCTTGGACGTTCAACAGTTTGAGGTTGCTGGAAGAGTTGACATGAGTATGCTCATGAAAAGATTCAAACTGTTGTTTCTGTCTTGTGTGACAACACATGGTGTATATAAGGTATATCCTAGATTGTCCATGCAATTTGTGGCATAGTTGCATTGACCACATGTCTGATTTCATCCTAACACAATGTTTAATACATACTGTCCATGACAATACTGTAATTTTATTAATTATTCAATTCATAAGTCATGCTTATCATTACACTGACAGCAAAATGCACTAAATCAGGGCACCACAGTCGTTGCAATGCATCATGGTCATTCTGTGTCCCATGTGGGTCCCCTGCAAATTATATCTATATACATGTATGTTTATATGCACGCTGTGATGACTGCTACTCACACATTAAGTAATCTTAACATATGACGTCTGTGACAACGAACATTTGATAATTCTAAAGGAATCATGTACTTATTTTGAGCAAAGAGCACTGTTTGGTGATACATTAATAAATTCAATCAAATCAATGTTCTTGAAACATCAAATAGTGTAACATATTTAACTTAATTATTTGGTGCTTGTTCTGGTTAATTTGAATACAGAATTAGGTCAAGGTTTTTGAATTTAATTTGTTACTAATTTGAAGGGCCATAGTCAAATTTTGCATATAAAATATCAATATTTTCTTCCCAAACACATATCAGTTGTACAGAACTTGTATGTATTTCCCACAACAAATCCACCATTAGAACAAATTAGCAGTGAGAAATTACTTAAAATTATGCTCACACATTATGTGTAACAGGAATTTTTTTGTGAGTTAGGTATGCTGGAGATACGATAGAAATTCATTTGTATAGATGTAGTGTAAAACGTTTAATTTTCACTGCTAGAAATTTTTGAGATTTCTGGATTGTATGGCATTAATGAAAACAACACTTTGCGAAAGTCACTCGTAGGACCCAAGAAGTATTTTCACTGCTACAAAAATGTTGTGATTTTCATTGACTGAAGAATTTCATAAATAATTTGTCTCTTGCGAAATATACAGTATACAGGACACAAAAAATACTTAGACACAGACAGGTTGACTCATGTCATGATTGACACTGTTGATGTAAACACATACACCATCATAAATACTTTTATTAGCATCTAACCACTGTAAACACTGCACATAAAAAAAACAAAACATTGACACCCAATGTACTTGGCAGTCAGAACAAAGTGACATACAACAATCTACATCATGTCTTTATTACTTTTCTCTCATTTTGTCTTGATTGCTATTTACATGTATCATTACGATGGATTTCTTGATCAAAGAAACCAAGATTTAGTTATATACTGTTCTTAATAATTTAAGTAAACTCTGACAAGACTGCTTCCCTACAGAAGTATTGAACTCTTCACATGTTTTTGGTTTAGTGATTGGAGTTGGTTTCACACTGCATACTACAGTTACATTGCTTGTTCTTTATAAATTCTTCGGTTGTCAGCCTGAATTTAATTCTCCTTAATTCAATGACGATTGTAGAATTTCTTTTATTACTCCAAAGATTAAGATTTTCATCAGTCTATGCTATTGAGTTTTTTTTTTTTGAATAGAGCTTAGACAAGTCCAGTATAACTTTAATTATTAAATCTATTTTTCCCTATTTATAATACAGTTTCACAACTAGAAGCACCTCATCTGAGGCCAGAAAATGTTCATATTGTGCAAGGATTTGTTTTATTGCTGCGTGAAATGGCCTCGAGGTTTTCCATTATTATTATTGCCCTTACTGCTGTCCACATACACAAAATAGCTGGAACAAACCAAAATGTTGTATTTTCTCTATTAGTAACAAATCATACACACTGTATTTTAAGATCCAGCATACAATAAAAAGAAAGAATTTATTGCTCATTGTATGCACTTTTATTGGATAAAACAAATATGGTATGTATTTTTTTCATGGACATTATTCATAATTAAAACAAGATATAATTAGTGGAGTCACATTAGATGATGGTCATGACTCATTCAAAGAGTCAATCAGTATTGCCTTCATCCATATGTAAAACTTCAAATTACTGACCCTAACATTGGCCGTTACCATGGTACCATGATGTGCATCCATAATCTTAGCAATCAAATGCATTCCAGTACAGCCGACCGTGAATGCAATCCACACACCTTTTTTTCAAGAAGTCATGTTTATGCACAACACTATAAAACGACTCTAAACGAATAAAAAAATGAATGTCACACCATCAGTGTGAACGCTAAATGACGTTGCTTAGGAGATGCAGAAGGGTGCATGATCTCGCCATGATCACCAAGTAGTCACGCCGCAGTCGTACAGCGATGTAAATCATTTTATTCGATTATGCAGATCATAGTTTGCATTTAAGAAAATCTTACAGTACCGATGCAATTTTTTTGTAGAAATCAATATCATAATGAAATAAACTTAACTGCTTCAATACTAATTTGAACACAATAATGCTTTATTGCATTTGAACCTGATTGGAGACCTTGTTATCTGCGTGCTGTGGGTAAGCTAGTACCACGTCTTTGCCTTCATAGGGTTCTCAATCACTCACTGAATTTGAGAAGAAATAAAAAGAATCATTCTAGTCGTTCTAACATTTTCTGCTTTTCATACCCGCATAATGACTTTTGTGGGCTGTATCTTAATCCAAGGCTAATTAGTGTGTTTTGTACATATATAATGTTGCCGAATGAATAAATTAAAAAACTTAATTAACAAATACAATGTCTGCCCTAGTTGTCTATTTCTAGAGGGAAAATTGACAATGTTTAAAGCTGTTGTCATGGTTCACTGATTTCATTTCAAATGTCTGAAGCGAATCCAATTCAAGACCCTTTAAAATCTGTCAATACATTGTCAGATGTCAATTTCTATGTTTATGTATTTGCATACATGTAGCTGCCAATGGTGAACTGAATTGTAAATCCTATGACAGGATTTTTGGTATTTCAGAAAAATTTAATTTAATTTTTTAGTTAATTTGCATAAAAAACCTGCCCATGTACATGCAATATATAAAATGTTGTTGATGTTTTGAGGCAAATATTATTTCTCTGAAAAAATTAACTGAAAGCATCTATTTGGTCTTTATATCATTAATTTATATTAAATTATTATATTAAAGTACATTAATTTATTCTGATGTGTCTCTTATTCATACAATAGCCGCTTTACTCAGACTGCCAGGTTTACTACCTTGGCGATCACCTGGGTAAAGTCTTCAAACCATTGTATGTTCACTATTGTACATTCCACAGGGCCACTGACATGTCTATTCAGACTGCTCTATGGTATTTCTACAACAATACATTTGCCATTGTCAGTGTCATGAGATTCGTAGAACAAAAAAGAAATTATTAACAAAATAGGTGTAAATCAGGATTTCTATAGCTCATGCTAAACACATACACTTGTGTGACGTTAACACGTAAATGTTGTTGATTATCGGTGATAATGCATACTGCACTATTTCCCCTCACAGCCCCTAAGGACATTTTGAACTTGAATACTGAGTTTCAATCATTGCAGTAATTGTGCCCTGAAGGGGGGTTGTAGTCTAGTGCTATTATTATTGATGATGATCAGTAGTTATGAGACTACGTTAATGAGATGGGCGACAACATTTGCATAGGTCTAACTAAGCTGCTTGGAGTCAATATAATCAGAACGTTAATCTGTTTATGATCTTATAAGTTATCTGATTTAATATTTGGGAAAAATAAAATTACAATTACATGCTTTCGATTTTTATAGATATGCTTCCTGGGAAGTTGAGATGGTTGAGAATTTAACTTCATATATACATCCAATTAATCTTGATAATATCGTGTATTGCTCTTGAACATGACGTTATCATGTACTTGAATGCGTATAGTTGAGATTATACTTGTCATTTTCATTGCAATGAAAAGTGTGTGTTTTTTTCAAATCACATTAAATTTTGTTTATCACTTGGGAATGTTATAAAATATGATACAAGTATACATTTGTAATTGCATTTGAGAATTCATTTAATTAGCTGTCATAATAATATAAAATTGATTCTTGTGTAACCAGGTACACACATACCAGACTTTACTTGCTAAGGTTAGTGATCACTTCACTCGCCTATCACCCACAAAATCTCGACCCAGAAGGGCTAATTATTGCTCTCTGAATCCATACTATTTACAAGAGATTTTAATAGCACAGCTCCCCTAATCACTTGGATTACTGCATTCAGGACAGCCATTTTTTGCTCCCAGGCTGTTTTCATTATTTTTTTTTTTGTCAAAATGTTTACATGTAAGTATATTTTTGTGGGATAACCCACGCCAATCTCAACAGCATTAATAACATGGATGTTAATAGCCCCCCAAAAAAATGGTAGACGTGCGATCTACATGTATATAGTACTGTATCTCATCAGTGACTGTTGTCAGGTATTGGAATTTGACGTTCAAGACATACCAGTATAGTAATGTTTGTTCATCTCACCTAGACAGCACTGTCAACTGACCCTAGTTTTTTTATACAATACCCCAAAAGGCTTGGGTCAGTATCTGAAGCTTATGGTATGCTGTAGGAGAAATGTAAATGCCTAGAAAATAGAGCTTTGTATGCAAATAATTTATGTATATCGGTCAGACGATATGAAACATATATTATGAATATGAATAGTTGTATGGTTTGATGCACTGGAATCGGGTTGATGGTGGTGGTGGTGGTGGTGGTGGTGGTGGTGGTGGTGGGGGTGGTGGTGGGGGTGGTGGGGGGGATGTGAAGTGGCAGATACATTGAACTTATACTCATGACAAATGAATCAAATTGCGAAGTGATTCCTGCACTACTACTAATGACGATAATTGGTTTTTCAATTGCGATTATTATAATGAATATATTTATATAATTGTCAAAATGTTATTTTTTTTTTGTAATTGGACAAATCACTGCTTGTCATTTGATAATTACGCCTGAAATGAATTCAAAAGCCGATGAAAGAGAGGTAGTCAACGACACGGAAGAAAATGTAATTTGTTCTACTCTGTCGTTATGGCAATGTCATGCAAATTAACCACATAAAAAATAGGAAAACAATTTTATAAGTGACACATTTTCCTGGGTGGCAATATTATGCACTCAGTCTGTATGTCTGTTGCCATGGGAATTCAAAGTCTGTCGATAATCTGCATTCATGGCGTTTCTGTGTATTGACAATTTTTTTTTTTACTAATTAGGTTATCTCTAGAAATTGCATTCATTTTTAATGTCTCATATTTTTCGCTCTTTGTGTTGGTTAGTCGAGACAAGATTGTATCTGTGTCTATTTAATTTATTTTTCAAATCTAAGCAGATACCATCTGTTTAAAGTGTTTCCTTCCCTGGCTTTAATCTTGTGAATTGGACTTGTCATCTATTAATTAGATTGGTTGTCAACGCCATGTACATCTTGCTCTGAAATGCATTGCTACATATGCATATATTATTAAGGGTAATAATTTTAGACACGAGTACATGTATTTCCAAATGAAAATTGCGGCACGTCGTGTTGCATGCAACAAATATAGCATCTATAAAACGCATAGCTTGTTTAGATGAAATGAAAAATGATTTTAATCTACGTTTTATATCGCTGACTCATTTGGAAGTAAATACAAAATCTCTGACGTAAGCTTTGTGTCTTTATTTGTGTGACCAAGATAATTTGAATGATCAGAGGACATTAACGTCTTTTAATGACATTCATTGTGATTGGGTGTGTAGCGTTAAACTTTTATCAGCATTGCATTTATGATTCAGTTCGTCAGTTTACCTCTACATCTATGTACCTGAAACGTAAACAGACCTTATCTTTGACTACCTAGTTACTGGCAATGATATTGTTGTTGGTTGCTAAGGTAGATGGGTCAAAGGTTACTATGACATGATATTTTTACTTGACTGTTTCATAGTTAATTTCCAAGTTTGTTATGGAAATATGCGAGTGTGTTGGTATTGTCATAGGTCATATCACTAGACTTTGACACAATAGTTTTCCTAATCAGTCAATAGATTTAGTCAATATTGATTGACCTTACACAATGACTTCATAAATATAGTTGTGATTGATATGTATTTAAGAATGTCCATGTGCAATATTTCGGCATAGCCTGTACTGAGCATGCATCTTTTTTGCATTAGAATAGACCATGTTCAATGCATGATTCTGCGGTAATTGTGAAATCAAATGAAAAAACTGAACCAACAAAGGTCAAAGTTGCGTCAAAACATGGCAGGAGATTCAACAAACTCGAAAGTGATTTTTTGGGTATTTCCATGCTTAATAATCTGCTACTTAGTACATGTAAACACATTTGATGGTGGTGACTTTTGCTGGAATACGGGGGTATATGTATTTTAACATAATATTCCCTTCTCAATGTTCAACATTTCAACAACTATAAAAAGAAGAGATTCAAGTTTGAAATTTAATCATTTGATTTTTGTGGCAGATGTTCGGTCCATACCAAAGTACATTATATTTAAAAGAATATTTTTCAAATTGTCCAATTTCTTCTCACCAGGAAGTTTTAGAGGGAAGACTGGTGACCGCTGTATTTTTTCTTTTAATACATATGACTCAATTACCTTATTACTTATTCATTCGTAGCATGAATATTTTGATATACTAGTCACCTCATGATAAATTATTACATATTGATTATAAATCATGCATATTAATTATAAATTATGCATGTTAATGATAGAGGAAATATTTTATATGTTTCAAAAGGAACTGTTGACAATATGTTGTCTTTATTGAGAAAATCCATCAATTTCAAACAAAGCATTGAACAGCTTACGGCATACAAACAAATTTTCTTCCAGTCAGCTATGAAAAATAAATTAACTATAAAAAACGCACAATAACATGGACATTGAATATTATATGATGTTTATTGATTTGTGTTGCAATATTGATATGCTAGTATTATGGACTTTATAGTTTTGCTGTGATTTGTGAGTGCGTGTGTTTGGGAGACTGATCAATCATATTATGTAATAGGCAAGCAGGGGTAGGTTTCTTACAGCAAGAATTTATATAAAACTCATTTCTTTATTTGTTTAGAAATTTATTGGCATGGATGCTATTGCTAACGGTATAAAGCTGACGGTGACAGCTGTTAATGCAAATGCCATGATGTTTTTCTGTGATTCATTTCTATAATAGAGCTCAATTATTGTAACTGTATATGTATATAATGCTTTCATTTATATTTACATAATTCATGAACATCTACTCAATTTTACATATAACTAAATATTGTATTATTTTGAAAGAAAAATGACATCTGAAAATTTACAATGTAATTTTTCTTATCTTAGTTTAGATTTTCTCCAAATAGTTAATTTATATGAACATGCACTTTTGAGCATCAAATAACATTTAAATAAGAAATATGTCTGTGCTTATGAATTCATTAACTATTCATCTATTGTAGAGCTGGAAACACAGATATTTCTCTTTTTTTTGTCCGGAAATAGAATCATGCTTGCGTATCCCAGCAGCCTGTATATTGAAGTTTTTCAGTTTTCACTGACCGTTATACAGTGGGCGGGTGCTATGGCAACTGCACACAATGCTGCTATGTGTATTGGAACGTATTCAACAGTTGAGGACTTTAATTGCGCTAGAGTGCTGATGCATTAGCCCTAGTTAACGTATGAGAGAGATGTAAGATGTTGCTTGTCACCGAATATCTTAGGTTTTTGTAGTAAAAAGCCATCTTCACTTGATGTTTATGCATCTAAATGAAGCATGTTGTTTTGAGGCGATATAGTGATTGATGTAAGCTTGATTGTCTGTGCTTCTGAGTACTGATCCACTCTAAAATTACATGTAATAGATTGCCACTCAAAATATAGTAATTTTTTTTTAGTTGATTAGCACTGTTAGCATATATATATATTTATATAAAATGCAAATTCAGTGGCTGATTAATTATACTATTAGGCAGATTGTATGATTTTTTTTCATTTTTGAATCAAACCTATGAATAAAAGCAGAAATATTTGAAATTACGTGGCACACAAAATTGACAGTTAACTGGTAAATTACACATGGCTTCTATTAGAAAGTTGACTTCAATAATTCAATTTAATTTGTTTCTGAAGGAGCGTTGTGACATGAAAAAAACAATGAGAATCTTTAAACTTGATTGTAATTGGGTAGGTGCACGCATGTATCATGTATACTTGGCCTTATCACAGCTACGACAGTGTTATCCGAGTTGCCTTTATTCAGCACAAAGACTTGTTATTCAGTTCTTTTAAATGCCAGTTTGCTATAAAGTCATTCTTGTCACTGTCTATATAGACTGTGTGGCTATTGTCACCAAGTATTGTTACCTGGTAACCATATACCACACTGCGATAATTCACCGAGGTCAGGCTTACTTTGTCTCCTGTTTTTTAACCAGACTAGTTGTAATCAATAATGATGTCTATTTGCACACCTACAGTACAGTTCACCGATACAGACTTGCCATGGAATAAAAGATCAACAGGTTAAAGTCATGTACTGCTGAGTGGAATGAAATTTGTGCAAATATGCGAAATGTGCCGAGACATTAGCCTGATTAAAAAGTCTGGAGCAGCGGCCAGACACAGGAATTAATTGTCTGTATGCAGGGCTGACACTGGTGACACTGATGATGTGAAATATATTACATTACACTGTAACACAGCTGTTGGTGTGCCTGCAGTTATTATGAATAAGATTTTTTCTGATATGATCACTAGAAATTGTTTTTTTGTTCTTGTTGTCTTTAACGCTTGCCTTCCTGCTCTAAATCTGGATGTAATTTTTAATGCACACACACTTTATATGTAAATGAGAGATCAAATACAGTAGTTCTTGCAACATTGTAGTTTTGCCAACGAAAATGTCTAAACGTGAAAGATTAGATTATAATTTAAGATGCCCTTGTGAAATGTAATTTTTTGTGATAGGGAATTAGTAGAAGCAGTGCAACCATGCTGACTACATAGATGGAAATATAAAATAATTTGTGTTTATACAGAATATCCCAGGGGGTCATTTAACATACACTGCATACATCTTGAGATTTTAATCACTGTTATTCTGTTTTAAAAATATATTACCCCTGTATGTATTTATTCAACATTTTTTATTACAAAACGAATTCATTAAATCCTAATATTACTCGCATCTTAATTCATTCTTTTTATTTATCTTTTCCAATTTTTAGATCGTTCTCCGCAATAGTGAGCACCCGCCGATTATGAAAGGTACATCATGGACGCTAGCAGCACCTTTCAAAGAACAGAAGTACCACCGTACTCCGAGTGAATCCATTGCTAACAATTACACGCCAACAGCCAGCGACTTAAAGATAAGGAGTTTACTGAGACCCGGTCTAACCAGGGCGCAGACACAGCCTGCCATCTCTAGGAAACGATCTCACTCACGTATCCTTTGTACTAATTGTAACCATACTGGTATTGCATAAATTCTTGTATATTTTTCGCTGTATAGTTTGATTGGCTCAGCCATGGCATAATATCCAATTAGCTGAATAGTACATGATTTACTGTCCCCATTTTCAGTGTGTTGTAAATCTGTACATCAATTCATTGAATGCATTATGGGTATTTTCCTCTTTATTTAATTAATCAATAGTCTTTCAAAGATTTTAAAATTAAGTTAAAATTTTGCAGAAGAATAAAAACTAATGAGCTTCTGAGAAATGTATTCATTGATTTCTTTTCTTCATAGATGATTTTTAACTGGGGAATTACTTTTTATTCAGCACTTGTACGAATAAATTGCAAAGAAATTATAATTAAGACTGTAAACTCGGCAAATGCATCGTAATGCAAGTTAAAAATAGATTCCGCTTCTGAATAATGCTATAATTGAAGATGCTTGATAAGTTATTGAAACGTATAATTATAAATGAAATAAACTGAAATTTGTGTATGGAAATCAAGCCGTAATATATATTACTACCTAGAATATTGACAATAAATACACAGTCAGTGTAAAAATATGAAAGTAGTTCAATTTAATTATTACATTTGTGCATATACAATACATGTCTAATAATATATGCAAGCATGAGATGCTCATTTGAATAATCTGTTACATTCCTTTCCTTTTAATTTCCGTCAGGGTATAATTTTTATTTCTGGGATGCATTTAGCAATAAATCACATGACAAAACTTATAGCCCTTTTTTAAATATTTAACTTTTTGGGGAAAATGCTCAATTTCCTGTGTATTCATGAGCTGAACGTTTGTAAAGATGTTGTAAGTAAATACTGTTTCCAGAAATGAACGCATAGATGAATCCTGTAAAAACCTGAAAAAATATGATGAATAAATCAGCTTTGCTCTACTTTGAATAGAAATGTTAGCTGCGTGAGTTTTAAATAAAAAGCATGCATTCAACATTTATCACGATTTGCGCACAAGAATCCTTAACTTAACTAGCATCTAAACGATCGCCAAATTCACCGCCACCGTCCAAGCTTTCACCGCGTAATGGCGTTAATGGGACTTTTACCAATGGTAGCCATCCATCTAATGGGATACCTGCACAGCCTAGAATGCCGGGGATGGGACAGAGAGCAAAAACTTTTGTTGGTGGGAGAGGAGCAAAACAACATAATGGGTGAGTAATGTCAGTTTTGCAGTGTGTTGGTTTTGGTTACATTAAGTGGGACTATTTGAACAGCTGTTAACAATTCCTTTTGATGCATCACTGATCATTATGAGTTCAATACCTCATTAATATAACCATATCAGTGTTGCAATATGGCACTCAATAAAATGGCACCCAGTGATTTTTTTATGTGCTAATAACAACATGTGACAACATTTTGTACTAATTTGAATTGATTTTTTTAAAAGCCATTTTGATTTTTTAATTTTTTCTTATACTCTTAGAGCTGATATCGATTTGAGTTGGAGACAGGAGTTACCACCAAGTCGTCCAATGACTCCCGTGGAGCAGATGGATATTATTTTAGACTGTGAGAAAAAAGAAGCAGAAGTGCTTGGAGATCCCAATGAAAGAGATATAGAGGTAACATAACATACTGTGATATTCCATGGGATTTGCACATGTTCAGATGGCGATTTGGCATTTGTACAAATCTGAAAGGCTGGAGGGTGGGTAGAGTGAAACTAAATATGTTTTTGTGAGTAAATACATATGAAATATTATGGTAAAAAAATTTTGTATCCATTCGTAACTGTAGAGATGTATAACTGTAGAAATATTTTGTACTCATGTTCACAAATTGTACTGTATTTGCTCTATTAGAAGTGCAAGGAAATAAGTACCCTTTATACTAACCTTTTTATAGCATAATATTTGCATATTACTAATATCGGCCGTGTCATGTTTATATAGATTCATCATTGTACTTGTACCATGTGTACTTGTATAGGAATTCACCATGGTAAACTACTGTATTTAAGACGACAGGTATTTTGTGATTGGTCCCATGTACCCAATACCAAAGTACCCATTTTTTGTTTTCCTAGTATGGTTTGAATCTGTTTTTATTTTGTTTATTTATGCATGATGTTTTTGGTCCCTTGGATATAATAATTGAGAATTGTTGGAAAAAGCGAGCACAGCATTTTGCCTCATTCCTATGTATCACCATTATCTGTAGAAAACTTGTTTTTAAAATCTATTGTATCAATACCTTTAATTCACATGTCTGGGTTCAGTTTGTGCGAGAAATATTTTATCACCAACAGCAATACCTTTTTCCCATAGAAATTGTTTGTTAAAGCAATACTGACAATCTGAGAGACCTTCTTTTCACATGTGTACATCACATAAGTAGTTTGACACAAGATGGCATGACTTATTATAACCGATTTATTACATTTCAAATTCATTTCGTCTGTAATTCATTTCAATATCAAATCACTTTTAAAATAATGAAACAAAATTGGAACTTGAAACTGCAAAGAAAGACTTGTTTATCCATAAACTACATGTATGTACCATATTTACTCTTATTAGACGTAATAATAGAGCACATAAACAATTTCTATGTATGATCATTAAAATTTCACTTATTTTGACCATCAGGCAATTGTTTTGGGAAAGACTAAAAATTAATTTTCATATCTATAATGTTCTGATTTTATTTGTTGTTTGTTTAAACACAGCGTTACCACTACTACATTACAAAGGGCATCCACAACGACATGCTGGCGCCGCAACCACGGGACCTCATGGAACATGTACGCAGCAGATTACCTCACAAGATCAAAGATAACCCTGAACTGGAGGGGATGAGGAAAGATCTAGTCAGTGAAATCGACAGTGACTTTGATTTCAGTCTTAGAAAATCAATAGGTGAGTTCATTTTGATCAGTAGTCGATGTTTTTTGATACTATCATTGCAGGTGTCAAAATTGCGTGTTTATTACATGTACAAGAACTATAGTGGGTTTTTTTGTGATAACCTTCTTATTATACTTTTCATCTGATACTTTCATGCAAAACATAGAAAAATTATTTTCATATTGTTTTATTTTGTATCTGTGTAGTTGACTATATTCTGAAGGATGCCAATGAGAAAAAAAGACTACACATTGACTGGATTCCACGATCATTTCCATGGAGGACGATCCGCGCTCCAGTACCATGGCATCAGAGCTATGCAGAGTCCAAAGGATTGAATGAGACCCATTTATTTATTACAAATCCTATTATGTTAGAATTACAGAATTTATGGCACAACAGGTTGGTATATACATTTGATCCGTAGTTTATTTTTGTGGTTTGTGTCATTTGAATCAAATTCTTAAAATGTGCTGATTTGTCTAATATTTAGATTATGCAGATCTATTTTAAATTTCATATTTCTATGCAATAGATTTTTTTCTAAAAACATTGGCAACAATGAACACAAGTTTAAAATGTCTGATGAGTTTATATTGTTTTTCGCAGATTTGGCAGTCTGAGGTTTGTCCGTTTAGAGGACCTCATGGCAGCCGAGCTACCCCTGTTGCCAGCAGAGTTTGAAGAGCTGGTAAAGCGGCACTGCAGGGAAGCACATGCTACACTGAAAACAAGGTGAATATCACGAATCTTTCTCGTAAATCTCTCACCTATATATTGATAGCTTGAGGCCTTATATGTTTTTTTCTGATTTAAAATATAGTATAAATTATATTTTCCATCTCTTTCTCTAGTTGGATTCCAGCATGTGCGCAGTTGTTTCAACAGCAGAAAGAAGACTGGGCATTTCTTGTGCCTCCACCAGACTCCAATGAGTCTACCATCCGAATTCAAGAGTTCTTTGCATGTGTGGCTGCCCTCATGTCAATCCAGTTACGTGGCATGGTCATAAACTCTCTCCATGATTTTCTAGAATTTTTTAGAATCCATCAGGTATTGATTTTTTTTCATTTCCTGAAAATAAATGTTTTTAGCAAGTCGCTGTGTTTAACAATTAATCAGTGTTAATTATCCGTAGTGTTTTATGAAAGTGTTTTATGACATGTACAATGCCAGATTCAAAGCAGTCTTCACCATCACTCTACTGTAATATTGCTTACTTCAGCTGTATCTATATTTATACAGAAATCCAGTTTTAGATGATAAAAGAAACTTGCATATATTTTTCCATTGAAATTTGGTTGCAATAGAGAAATGTAAAACCATACATATGCGCATTCTTAATTTGATGACTTTGCACTATGGCTGAATGTACATGGCAAATTTGAAATTAAGAGAGACTGTTCTTTGTGGCAGTTGTCATGGTTATGATATTAAGATTTGTACCCCCTACTGTCATATCCATACAGTGGCAATTTATGAACAGAAAGGTGGTCAGAGTTGGAACAAATGAAGCATTCAGTTTTGAAAATGTATAATCTTTGTTTCCATGGAAACAAATACTGTAATACCCATATATGGTCGTTACTAAGCAAAACTGACGTGTAATATTATGTCTAAAATATCTCAAGAGTGAAGTTATAAATGATTAAAACTCAACACCCACTTTTAGTTCATGGACATTTTAACCATATTTTTAATCTCTGTATGATTTGTTTTTCTTTATACAGGATGGCAATGATTTTGGTGAAGAATACGATGAACTTCAGTACAACATGGCACAGGTCATGATTATCAAATTAAAAGTTGAAGAACCTAAGATTGTGTTCGATCCTCCATTCAGGGAATGTAGAGACATCATACTCAGATGCTTCTCTGAAATCATTGCTAGTGCAGAGGGCCTTCAAAGGGTAAGTTGGCATTTTCTTTATTAGGATGTCTGATTAATTATTTTTTTGAGGGTAAATTTTATTGCTTGATATGTGGAATATTATATATTTGTATTCGATGTACATCCAATTGATCTTAAAAATGGGAGAAAAACTGCATGAAGACAATATTATCACATGAAATGATGGTTCAGGGTTCAAAGGAAAATCTTTCTTTAAAAAGTAAATGTAACATTTGTTTACTTTTGTTCTAAATTGCCATACTTAATATTTTGGTGAGAATATTTTGAGTATGAACTTTTTCCAAATTTTAATTACCGGTAGGTTTTTAATTTAGAAACAAATTTAGATGTATAGATAACATCATTAATTATACTTCATTTTTGTCTTTCCAGGTGGAATGTGATATTTTCCCGGACCTGAGGAATCAAAGATTAGTTCTCAGGGCAGTGAAAATTGATGAACAGCTGGTGACAAACTTCATTGATGAAGCCATGCAGATATTCAAATTTAACACAGTAGGACCCACTAGGTGAGTGGGAAAGTTATATGCAATATGCAAATCAGATAATTTGTATGCATACATTTGTAATTGTAATTCTCTGCGTCCTACATTACTGTAAAATCTGTATTAGAAGCCGCGGCTTCTATTAAAATGGTACAATGCAACAGAGGGGATGCGGCTTCTATTAGAGCATCTACACATATGAGAAATGATGAATTTTTGGTTCTCAATTATTCAAATAGAATGGATGCGACTTCTATTAGGGATGCGGCTTCTAATACAGATTTTACGGTACTACTGTAGAGATGTTTCATATTATTTGTTAACACTTAGCTCTTTGTCACCTTTAAAACAAAACTTAATCCACACAAATTTTGATAGATCTATACCATTTCGCATGTTATACACGGTAATTAAAAAAAAAGGAATTTTGCTGTGATCATGTAGAATTTTGTGTGTGCCTATTTGCACTTATTAACAGAATGGCTCATGAATATTAACATCAACAATTTGCATATAATTAAACCCAAGTTCTTCTCCTCTATATCAGATATTTGAACACATACAAGAAATACCATGAGTTGCTGAACAACAAAGCGGAGCAAGAAGTGACAGCATTCTTGAAAGAGCAGCACTCGCTGGAAGCCTTCCGTAAAAAGATTGATGGTCTACAATCCTTGAAGGAGGAGATAGCGTTGCTGCGGATTACAGTGCCACTCAGCATGTTCTGCTTGGACTGTATTAACCTTAATATGGATCTGTGCGCTAGATCCCAGAAACTCAAAGATAAACTGGTTGCTTTTGAAATTGATGAGAATCGAAAACTCAACAAAGAGTAAGACAACCTTTTTTGTATATACCATAATCCATCGTTTGTTAGAATTGCATACAGACTTTGTATTATATACTGAACAACTTTCACTGATTAATGAAAAATAATAAAATCTGTTGCTATGGCAACAGTTCCAGAAATATTCAAGCAATGAAACGAGCCTGCACTGTAGGTCATGGTTTCTAATCAAATCAAAGGCCACTTTACTGGTACTTCATTTTGAAAAGTGCTTTCTAAATTTTATTTCAGAATTCTGTAGTATGAGATTTCTCATGAATTGTACTCAATCCAAAGCACTTTATAATGCATTCTGGGGTCAATGTAAGGTTTTTCGCATCGCATACAAAGTGGAAATGCATTTTTACAAAAACAATTACATTTCTTTTTAGAGATTGAATTTTTATTTAGCAGTTTTCATTCAGTGGTAACTTGATTGTTGAATTAAAATTTATTTAGAAAACATTATTTATGAGGCTCTTAGGATTATTATGTGAAATATTTGATTATCTGCACACATTGTAGAAAAAAACAAGGATTTGCCAAAATTCTGCCTTGAATGAAATTACTGCGACCTGTAGTAATTTGGAACAGATGTGAATCATTGTGAATTCACACGTATTGGAACACTATTCAAATGTACTAGCAAATTCAAATGCACAGTCTAATGGGAAGCCAAAATAATTACCTGTTTTCAGACAAAATGAAAAGCATTGAAGATTCATGCAAATTCAGATAGTCACATATTCCACATAATATTCCCAAAATCACAATAAGGCTATAGGAATAAATCTCACAGTTGAATGTATTGGTGAAACAAAAATTGACTGTTATATACAGATACTATGTAGTTATATGTGCTCTCTACGAACATTTTTTTTCATAACTTTTTTTTTTCCTGTCAAACAGCATTTGTCGGCGGTATGATGAGATTTCCGACAAAGTCAGTGAGACACCAGACAACACAGATGAACTTGTACAGTTAGCCGACTTCTTGAAACAAGCAACAGATGTGTTAGTGTATAAACTGAAGGATGAGATTGAAGAGGCTGCCAATAGATTGGACTTTCTTCTTGACTATGCAAACCTTCCTTGTGAGTACAGTGAAATATATATATGCATTTTTTGTTTTGTTTGGTCAATCTTGGAAGGGTGAATGTGATTGAACAGTGCAGCTGAAACATGTGTAAGGTGATTAGCTTTCCAATATGTAAGGTGAAACTTACCTAAACCAGATGCCAAATAGTTTGGGAAAATTGTATTGAGAACTATTTCCAGTTTATACATGGTTCTGCTTTTGAAATATTTTTACTATACTTTCCCAGTTGGATATCTTTTTTATACTTCTATGCATTTACTTCCTAATTCGCAGTTGAGGATATAAAACTAAACAGTAATGTCTTCCACTGGCCTGACTACATCCAAACTGTTTTTGAGTTGGCCAAGAATCGTCTGACCAACCGTCGAGAAACGGCTGAGGAGGAGGTTCGTAAGAAGGTTGAAAACTTTGAAGCCAAATTACAAGAATATAACAAGGAAGTGGAATCCTTTAGAAAGAAGGAGGTAAGTCTTGAATAACCAAAATGTTTTTTTCTATTGTACCGGGTACTTGATTTTGTACTGTGACACTGTGTCTACTGCAGGCTACAGTGTCATCATCTCTTTGACGTTCACCCGGCTGAGTGCTATACATTTTTAGGTGTTCATAAATATGTCTCATTTGCATTATTCACAGTGTTATCACAAGTAACATATTCTTATAAAATGTCGATTGGCTTGAAAAGTTACTGAATACCATTTCATTTGATATTCTCCCCCTTCTCGTTTATCAGAGGCGTGGTCGATACTTTGTAAGTTGGAAGCAGCATTATCATTTGATAAAGTCCCTATCATAACCCATATGCATGCTCCAGTTTTAAACCATTTTTGTAATCTTGCTGAGTTTGCCGTGGACAATCGAGGGATGTCATATTTCATTTGTCATGTTTATTCAGTCCAGAACCAAAGAAAATTCAGTCCATCAAGTTTGTTGTTGTTGATTTTTTTTTTTTTTTTCTGGATGTCAAAAACAATTTTGTCCATCCACAAACTTTCTGTTGAAATATACAACATGTCCCTCTGTTACCCTCTCCCTTAACTGCAATAGTTTGCATGTCGATTGAGGCTTGGGAATGCAGTATTTAACCACAACTTTTTGATTGATATTAATCCTTCATTATGTCATCAGTTCTCATTCCTTCACTCCATCATCAACTCCTCTAATTGTAATTAACATCTGTTTTCTCATTACTCCATTTCATTGACACTCCCAAGCCAAGAGTAAGTACCAGTGTTGCGTATGTCTCAAAATTATAATGATAATAATAATGCTACGGGTAATAACTTTATTTTTTTATTTTAAGTGAAGTATAGTCAGTTTTTATTTTAACAATTTTGTAAAATTCCTCTCATTGAACTTTTAATCTAGTTTTAACCTTTTTACACCCTCCTTCCCCCTCCTCCATGTCTCTCACAATAGACCATTTTGTTCACAGAGAATAACATGTGCTTCACACTTATAATCCATAACAAGAGTGAAATGTTTCTCTCTTTTTTTCGGACTGGCTGGCATTCAGTGTCTGAATAATCAGGCAGTTTTTATGTGTTGCACACCATCTCTTATGTAATTCTGAGCAATTCTGAGATGCTGCAGTAACCTTAAATCTGCTAAACTTGTTTTTCATCAATTATTTGTATATTCACCTCAAAAATAGATGCGTTTTTTTTAGGAATTTTGAATCACTGACTGTAAAAATAAAAGTGTGGCTAGAAAATCGTTTTCACACATAATTTTTTTAGCTGTATTTTAAATTGATTAAATTAAAAAAAAACAAATAAAGTTTAGTGTAGATTATAAGTAACTACTCAAGCTAGCTGATGTTAGAGAAGACTACTCTGCTTTATTTCCCTAAACCGTTTGGATAACCAAACAATGTTGCTTTCGGTTTATGTAGATTATGAGCATGGATGAAATGAAATCAAACGTGGAGCAATTAAGCAACATACAGAAGAAACTTGAAGATGCACGAGATGAGCTGGAGTCCCTGAACAAAGAGGAAGAACTGCTGGAATGGGAACCAACGCAGTTCCCGATATTGCAGTATATGTTCCAGCTGAAGGCTCCTTATGATCAGCTGTGGAACACTGCATTGAAGTTCCATACCAATTTTGAATTCTGGATGAATGGTAAGTGATTGGGTCTTTTTTTCTTCTGAATTCTGAAATGAAGTCAACAAAGGCTTGGTTATGTTGATAAATATGTGTCTACTACTGATTTTTGTATTATATTTTTGAATTTCCTAAATTAAAAAAGAAGGAAACGAAGATTTCAACACTAGAGGGCTCTCTTTGTTCCTTTTCTCTGTCTGTTAACTGTTACTGTATTAAAAATCATCATTTTCAGTGATTCCTTGATTCTAAGATGGGATAAATATTGTTGTCTATGCGGTTAACACTTCCTTTTTTCTACTTCTTTGTTCACAGAAAGTAAGTTGAATTTATAGCTGAGTTAGGCATGAAGCAGATGAACCAACAAGGAGATAGTGGAGTTAGTCCAGAATACATGTTGTAAATGAAACAAAGTTAGGCAAAAAGGCAGTTAGGTTATATCATGAATAATGTACCTACAGCCATTCAGGGACTTGTTTGATGTTAACACATTGTTGTGATTACAGAATTTTAATAACATTTAATTAATATTAATTAAGATTGAATTGGTGTTTGTTTGTTTTGTTTTTTCCCTCTAGTTTGACAATTTAACACTAGAAGTGGGCCTGGTAGGGGCCAGTAAACTATTAAAATATGTGCATGACAAACATAATTTATTCATTTTCAATTAAGAATGATAGCAAAATGTAAGAAATGAGCAATACAGTGTGAAATCAAACCATCTTCTCAAAACAAAATTCTCTTTGTCATGCCATATTTTAATAATTCACCTTGCCATCACTTGTTTGTATCTTGTGCAAGTTATAAATACCTTTATTTAGCACAGCTGTTCTTCTTTACTACAGGTCCTTTCCTGGATTTGAACGCGGAGCAAGTGGAAGAAGAAGTCGGTAATATGTGGCGTAACATGTACAAACTGGCCAAGTCTTTCAATGACCAGCCAGGCCCACAGAGAATCGCTAACAACGTCAAGGGAAAGATTGATAAATTCAAACAACATCTTCCGTTGCTTTCCGTCATCTGTAATCCTGGTATAAGGGATCGGCATTGGGAACAAGTAAGCAGTGGAGTAATGATTCTACTAACTAACTAATCTTCACTTTACAGACTCAAAAAAATAATTGAATGGGCCATTCCAATTGGCTGAATACAGTCATTATATAACATTGGGATCATACCCACTCTGAAAATAACTTTGCCAGACAATGATCATTGATTCTTGTTTGTTCATTTCAGATGAGTGACATTGTAGGATATGATTTGAAACCAGAGGCGGACACCTCATTATTTCAAATGGTAGAAATTGGACTTGTAAAGCACTTGGAAAAGTAAGTTTTGTCTTCCCCTTCATTCAGTTTTGACACATTAATTGTCATCAGTTATGAATAAGGTTTTGACAAAAAATAGTCCATGCGTTATTTTAAACGATTGGAAAGTGTCTGTCTGTCGTTCTTGTCGATATTTTTGTTATTAGCAAAGAACTAAATATACTGGCTCATCTGTGATGTTTACATTGAGCTTAATTTGAATGAAACCTCGGCTTCTAAACAGCGTATGTTGTGTTATAATGCTGATTATGTATTATGTCAGGCAGTATAATTAATAATCAATATAATGATGTATTTTTTTTTAAGACTGGACGAGATTGGTGCTGCTGCCAGCAAAGAATATTCCTTGGAGAAAGCAATGGAGAAAATGAAAGCAGAGTGGGCTGGTGTGGAATTTGAATTTGTACCGTACAGAGACTCTGTAAGTTGATATGAACTGTCAGTGTTAGTTTGTTACAGTACAGATTTAAAGTGCTTACAACCATGGGCAGAAATATAGGGTACTTGCAGGTTTTCATTGTATTTACATAGTCAGTTACCACACTGCAGCATTTGCATTTCGAATATATTTAATTTAATATAATCTAAATTGTGAAACATAATGTCTAATTCCAAAAATATTTGCACTGCGACTGAACTCATTAATGTTCATTGCTAATTAATATTCATATAGCTCATTAATATTCATGACGGACCGGCACTCATGTTGGGCTGGTGAGATCCCTGATCACAGAATACCTACAATAGAAACTCAAATACAGATGTCCTAATTAATCAAGAGAATTTACTATGTTGATATTCTTTCTGTGTTTTCTTTGTAGGATATAAGTTATGAAGTAAGTGAAGTTGACAGAGTTAGGCATATTAGGTAGAAATCGCCAGCACAAGATATAAGTGAAGTTAGGCAGTTCATCAAGCAGTGTAGTTAGCCACATCTTGCAAGCAAGCCCAGCTGAGAGATATTAAGTTGGTTTAGAGCTGAAAGTCAAGATAATAATATTTCTATAATTAGTTATTAAGAAAAATAAATGCAGCATTTTAAAATTATATTCTAAAGATTTTTCAGGAATAAATGAGGTTATTAAAAGAGCAAGAAAATGCTGACTTATGTAAGCTGTTGAATCAAAAGTTTACACTCCCTTGAATGAAGCTGTTGACTTCTTACATGTACAGATTTTTGATTCTTTTGATTTTATTTCAGGGTGTTTCTATTTTATCTGCTGTGGATGATATCCAGATGTTGTTAGATGATCATATTGTTAAAGTACAGACCATGAGAGGATCACCATTTATTAAACCATTTGAAGTAGAAATGAAGGTATGTAATTCAAATCACTTTCTATTTGATCAATTCGCTACCAGTGTATTTCCTGGATTTGAGAATTCTTTTTTTTTATTTTAAATATTCACAAAATTATGTTATATTTTCTAGGAATGGGAAGAGAAACTTGTCACTATGCAAGATATCTTAGATTCTTGGTTGAAATGCCAGGCTACTTGGCTTTACTTGGAGCCTATCTTCAGCTCGGAAGACATCATGGCTCAGATGCCGGAGGAAGGCAGGAAATTTGGTATTGTGGACAGCTACTGGAAAGATATCATGACGGAATCGGTGAGACAGATTATATTTATTCCTGCATCCAATATCAAACAGTAATTCTTTGCTTTAATGAGTGAAGTTAAGGCTATGTTGCAAATTAAAAAATAATTAATTAGTTAGTGTGTGATTTCTATGTAGATCAAGAATACCCAGGCCTTGGTGGTCACAGCACAGCCAAACATGTTAGGAAGACTAAATGAGTCCAATTTACTGTTGGAAGAGATCCAGAAAGGACTTAATAACTACCTGGAAAAGAAAAGATTGTTCTTCCCAAGGTAAGTGTTATTAACAGTGTGACCATTCTGCTGATTCCAGCTGATTGCTAAAATTCAACCTTATTCCCTGCCATGTCCTCTTGATCTTTATGCTGTATCATCTTGCTTTTTCTTTCCTAAATTTTTATGCCAGGTTCAATCACAATATATTATTGACTTATTATTGATTTTTTTTTAGATTCTTCTTTCTGTCCAACGATGAACTGCTGGAAATCCTGTCAGAGACCAAAGACCCAATGCGTGTCCAACCGCATCTCAAGAAATGCTTTGAAGGTATCGCTCGACTGGAGTTCACTGAAGACACTGAAATCACTGGAATGATCAGCTCTGAGAATGAAGTTGTGCCATTTCCAACTAAGATTTATCCAGCTAAAGCCAAGGTATGGGAGTAACACACAATAAGTGGGTGCTGCTGGATGGATGGAGATGGTTACATCTTTTTGTTGTGCCAGGCGACATTTCCGGACATTGAATGTCACTGTTGTCTCTCCTGATATTTTTTTTTGTATGTGCAAATTGCAAGTGCTAGTGACGACACATAGTGCATTTTGCCACAGAAGTCATATTCATCTTTGGGACTACATGACAGGGCTGTGTGTCCATGTCTCTGTCAAATGGCAATTTGTAATGCGCTATCCTGGCGTCAACCAGGCTCGGTCGAACACAAGCACCTGCGGACCTTAATTAAGGTTCCCCCAAAGTCGCATTCGTTAGCAAATGAATCTCAGCCAGTGGAATTGGCCTTCCCATTGAGTCTGTGGCACACTCACCCAGGGTAGGGGTCGATCCTTTGATGTTCAGCCTAAGATAGGATTTGAACTTGGGTCTACCAATCATGAGTCTGATGCGACAACCACTATGCTACCAGTGATCGGTAACACACTAACACACTTTAGGACAGGAATTTCCTGAAATGTTTTACTATTTATTTGTGTCTATCCTTCATAGAGAGAGCTGAGTTTATTATATAACTGTATTTGTTGTTTCAGGGCATGGTTGAAAAATGGTTAGTACAAGTGGAGGAAATCATGAAAAGCAGTTTGAGGAAGAGTCTTGGTGATTCTGTCGAGAATTATACACAGACAGAACGTACAAAGTGGGTCGTAGATTGGCCGGGACAGGTGGTGCTCAATGTTAGCACTACATTCTGGACAAAGGAAGTAGAAGAAGCCATCCATAATAACACATTACAGGTATGTTTGCACCAACCTTCTCATTTGCATATTCATGAGACATAGTGATGTCACAATTATATATTCATATTACATCACTACAATGTTGTTTGCTTGTACGTGAGGCCATATCATGTCATAATCATAAATTTATGTTGCAAAACTGGTTTTATATTCTGACATCATTTACTCTTGCTTTGCTAGAGCTACTTAGAGAAGAGCAATGACAACATACAGGATGTTGTTGCCATGGTACGTGGTAAACTCGGCATGGGTACTCGTATCACACTTGGTGCACTGATTGTAATTGATGTACATGGTAAGTTGATCACTAACTTTAATTGTTATTCATTCACTTGCCTATAAACTTTGAGATTCTTATCGTTTCACTTTTTATCTAAACAACACAGCTCGTGACGTGGTTGCCAAACTAACTAGCGACAAAATCAGTGATCCTGCCGACTTCCAGTGGATTAGTCAATTGCGTTACTACTGGGAAACTGATCGTTCCATGGTTCACATGATCACCACTGTACTTGAATATGGTTATGAGTACCTTGGTAACGGTGGCCGATTGGTTATCACACCCCTTACTGATAGATGTTACAGGACATTGATGGGAGCCTTGAAACTGAATCTTGGTGGTGCTCCTGAAGGACCTGCTGGTACTGGTAAAACTGAAACCTCCAAAGATTTGGCCAAAGCTGTTGCTAAACAGGTAAAGTTACTAGTTTTTATGATCATTTGTAAAGTTTTCTGTGTTCTGTTTTACAGCAAGCATCCAACAACATGTTCCAAGTTTGATTTCACTTGTTACGTTTTCTTTTATAGTGTGTTGTCTTCAACTGCTCTGATGGTCTGGATTTTAAAGCCATGGGGAAATTTTTTAAAGGTTTGGCGCAAGCTGGTGCCTGGGCTTGCTTTGATGAGTTCAACAGAATTGAACTTGAAGTGCTATCTGTGGTGGCCCAACAAATTCACAGTATACAGCGTGCTATTGCAATGCACCTCAAACTGTTTATATTTGAAGGAACTGAGTTGACTCTAGATCCGTCATGTACTATCTTCATCACTATGAATCCTGGTTATGCCGGCAGATCAGAATTGCCAGATAATTTAAAGGTCAGTTTTCATTTCATTACTTTTTTTTTTAATCTGGGTCTCAACATTGCAATACTTGTTTGTGTCCAATCAAAACATAACTTTCTAACTTTGTACCTGGTTTTATTATAATGCAGGTACTGTTCCGTACAGTGGCTATGATGGTTCCCGATTACGGCCTGATCGCTCAAATCTCTCTCTATTCCATGGGCTTTGTAGAGGCTCAGAGCTTGGCTGGCAAGATTGTAGCTGTGTATCGTCTCTGCTCTGAACAGTTATCTTCCCAACACCACTACGATTACGGGATGAGAGCTGTCAAGTCGGTGTTGACAGCCGCTGGTAACTTGAAGTTGAAATATCTGCAGGAGAATGAGGCTGTTTTGGTGCTCAGGGCCATCAAAGATGTCAATTTGCCCAAATTCTTGGCACAAGTATGTACAAATATAACACTGCTAATGTATTTATTTATGTAACGTTGAGGTTGTTATTATTGTGCAACAATTTAAAACGTTTTCAAATAACTTTTTTCTACTCAGGATGTGCCACTATTTGAAGGTATCATTAGTGATTTGTTCCCTGGTGTAGTACTGCCAACACCAGACTATGAAGTTTTCCTTGAAGCTTTGAAAGATAATATATTGAAGAAAAATTTGCAGCCAGTGCCTTGGTTCATTGAGAAAATTATACAGGTAAGTGTTCAG